ATTTGCGAACGTAATGTGTGCCGTGTGTAATTGCACATTAGTTGCAATAAATGGCGTTAGTTGCAATGTGTTTGCAGCTCACGTTCTGCTTTTAAGATTTGGCTAACATTTTATGATTTTGAATATTGACTCTTGACTATGATTTCTTTGATTTTGATTACGGTAGGTATACGGTAGAAGGCCAAAATCATAATGTTGACATCTCTTTGTTTTTGACCCACAACCGTATACCTACCATAATCCCAAAGGCAGGAATTTTCCTGTGGAAAAAATACCATATTCGTGATCAGCGTTCAGACAACTCCCGTTCAAAAAATTCTGGTGCCCGTATAGCCGAATAGCGCCCCAAAAGGCTATGGTGTAATGCATTGCAAATTCGAAGCAAAAAATATTTTGAGAGCCTGACACATATATGGTTTTAAGATGTACAATGAATGTTCCAGAAAAGTCTCAAGCCCGAGGCAACTTATAAAATAAGTAAATTTTGAACTTGAGATCTATGATACGTTTCTAATAGAAGTGGCGTCAATATAATGCCCTGCGTTAGACAACGATAATTGCGCGTGAAAAATGGCCGCTGAGCAAAAAACTCAAAATGTGCGCACTATGGTCATTTTTGCGCAATTGACGCCATGGAGAGCACAGCCAAACAACTATAAGACGACGGTGCAACGTTAACACATTGACGACCATGCAGATGACCAAGGCCTTTTACAGGCCAGCCCATATTTTTCAACTATAATTACGCATGCTTCCATCTACAGCACACTTACCTTAAATCTGAAAGGCCGATAAAAAAGGTAGAGGTCATCCCCAGATTCAACGCAGAAGAAAGCTCACGGAGTGAGTCTATACCAGGATAGCAGTCATTTTTACAAAATTCAAGCCTTGACACGCATGGTGTATCAAGCGGTCGTCAATGTAAAGATTCAAAGGCAGCGTCCAATCAAAATTTCACCTCCCATGTTTTGCCATTCTGAGTTTTTTCCATGCCCTGCTTACGGTTACAATGTTCAAATTGTCCAACCCTCCCCTACCCACCCCCCGCTCAAACAAAAACCCGATTCCTGGGGACCGTCTTGAGGGCGCGGACGACTTGCAGTACATGGATGGGTCGAGCTTCATAGGATCTGAGCGGGGCATGATAGCAATTTGGCCGCTCCAGGCCCATTATCTCCATTAAGAGGCAACATTAGAGGACCGAAAACGCAGATGACTCTTTCCTGGAGCATACATATACATAAGCCTACGTCTGCATTGCCTAATTTCCGTATATAGCGAGTAGGAACGAAACGGAATTACGTATATTGTTTATTGTTGTTGTTATCACTGAACCATTTTTGCACTTTTTACGTAAGATACCTCCGCTCGAATTGAGGAAAAAAAGTATTGTTGCATTTTTTTGACAAAGAGAAAAAGAGCCGACTTTCGCTTCCGACAAATAACGCTCACCTCATTTATGTAAAGTGCGGTTCATAATTATACGAACACCCCAAATTTTGGAAGTTCTTGAACTTTTTGACAGAAACTCAAAGAGCCGTTGGTACCACGCGAAAGAGCACAGCCGAAAACGGTATATGATTCATAAGAATGGAAATGGATGTCAATCTCAAAGGTGTTTTTGCGCTTAATGCAAATTTTTAGCGGTTCATAATTATACGAACACCTCAAACAGAGGTCAATTTTTCATTCAAGATTGCAATTATTTGAGTCCAAATTTTTTGTAGAGCTACAGTAACAAAGTCTGACATATCTGCTACACACTGAACCCAGTGCAGTTCAAAAAGAGGACGGTTACTTTTTTTAGAAGGCTCTAAACGCTTTTGGAGTGATTGCGCTCCAAAAACATCCGTTCTTCTGTAGTTTACGCGCTCTGATTGCTTTTACCAAAGCTATGAAATAAAATAAGCTCTTTTGGTAGGTATTTTGTTTGACTTGGAAAATGTCTGCGTTTTCATGCCGTTTTTCAACCATGTTCCAACCTTACCCAGGGCCCGGCACGAGGTCGGCAAATGACAAGCTGGAAATCGTTTTGGGGCCAAAAAGCAAAGGGGAAATCGTTTTTGCCGGGTCCGGGGCGGAGTCCCGGAAAAAAATTGGTAGTTCATGCTCGCTACTTATCTTGACATGTTATGTGCCTCAACAGGTGAACACTGGAGTTCGCGCGCGTCAAACCGCGCCGTCGCTAATTGCCGCACGCGCGACTCGCCCAAGCGATGCTATTTGTAACAGCATACATGACTAGTTCTCAATGTATGTGTAACGATATGACACCAAATTTTGTATGCGAACGGAGAGAGGCTAGTGGAAACATAATATGAAAAATTATGAAAAACTTATGTGAACGGAACGAGTAATTAGCATTTTTTCCGAGAATTTCGCAAAACTGGTAAATGAAGATGTGAATTCAAACGGCTCGTTTAAACGCGCAGATGAACGATATGGTATGAAACTTGGTAAGTTAATGCACACGGGCTTGCAGGGCTTAACTGAGGAGTTTCATTGAAAAATTATGTGACTGAAGGTTGTGGCAAACTTTTTTCTGAAAATTTTGCGCTACCAAAGAAATGGAAAAATGGCTCGTTTGCAACGCAGAGGTAACGAAATCGCGCGGGATTCGGTGTGTGTATGCGCAGTAGGACTAAGTAACTAAGTATGAAATATTATGAAAAACTTATGTGAATGAAAAGTTTCCTTAACTAATTTCCAAATTAGGTCGGCATTTGCCGACCTAATTCCCACCTGAGGTCGGCAAAACTCTCAGTTCACATAATTTTTTCAAAATTTTTACATAAATCTGTTGTACACCTAAAGTTTACTACATGGTGAAATTTTGGTTCCGAAACTCCTCCTCTTGACCTTGTTAGAGCCCAAAATCGCATCAGCAACCTAGCTTTTTAAGATGGGAAGCGCGCTCCAATCAATCGATACGCGCGGGAGCGGCGTCTCTCATTCCTATGACTGCGTTTCTTTGATATTTTCTCATTCCTTAATCATTTTCTTGCTTATTTTTCTTTCTGTTTTCTATCTTGATCCAGCTGAGGAGTAATTTGAGGAATTTGAGCAATTTGGGCGCTTTTGAGCGCTTTTAGGCGAAGTGTGGCCGGTAATCTCGTCGCACAAGCACAAAACGTCATTTTTGGGCTCAAGGGGGTATTCGTAAAATTTATTGGGATCAAAGGGGAATTCGTTTTGGAAAACCCCGTTTTCCCATCTCGTGCCGGGCCCTGACCTTACCACAGAGTTAGCACGATTTTAAGCCTCAAAACTCAGCTTCTGAAGCCGTACTATGAAGTAAGCACATAGTATGTGGAAGTTCACAAGACTGCATATTTGGTTAGAAAAAATCAGCAGCGCTGAGCGTTTGTTTTGGCCACGCAGACGTCATTTCACAAAAAACATTGTTTTTACTATTGCAATCATACCTTTATTTGGTTTTTAGCTCCATAGCCTCAAGATCAGTTCTACAAAAAACCCAAAAACTTCGGCACAGAAACATCATCACGCGAATAATGCAGCGGCTTCATATCAAATGTTTGCGCAAGAGAGAAGCTGAGTTTTGAGGCTCAAAATCGTGCTAACTCTGTGGTAAGGTTGGAACTTGGTTGAAAAACGGCACGAAGACGCAAAGATTTTTCAAGCGTCAAACAAAATATGTATCGAAAGAGCTTATTTTATCTCATAGCCTTAATACAAGCTAATTAGAGTGCATAAACCACAGAAGAACGGATGTTTTTGAAGCGCAATCACTCCAAAAGCATTTGGAGCCCTCTGAAAAAAGTAACGGTCCTCTTTTGGAACTGCACTGGGTTCAGTGTGTAGCAGATATGTCAGACTTTGTTTCTGTAACTCTACATAAAATTTGGACTCAAATGATTGCAATCTTGAATGAAAAATGGACCGTTGTTTGAGGTGTTCGTATAATTATGAACCGCTAAAAATTTAAGTTAGGCGCAAAAACACTTCTAAGATTTACATCAATTTCCATTCTTATGAATCAAATACCGTTTTCGGCTGTGCTCTTTCGCGTGGTACCAACGGCTTTTTGAGTTTCTCCCAAAAAGCCCAAAAACTTACAAAATTTTGGGTGTTCGTATAATTATGAACCGCACTTTATTTACTGTGGAGGGTTAAAGTAGCAAACTGTAGCGTGCAAAATGTGTAAAATGCTCATATTGTTGATAACAGCTAAAGCTTCAAGGCAGTGTCTCGGCAGAATGTTTTCCGTTTTTTTTTTAGCTTTTCGGAGCTTCTCGCCATGTGGAAATACCTGGGCTTTTCAGCGCATGAAAATGGCGAAAATGAGCTTTTTCCGAAGATTTTCAGATCTGCATTCAGTGGGGAATATGTGCAAGTGGGCGGGGAACGGAACGAGGAAGGTGGGGTGCGGAAGACTTCCGGCGTATCTTCACTGAATAACCTGAAAACTTCGGAAAAAGCTCATTTTCGCTACTTTCATGGCCAAATATATGCCTAGATGTGGATTCCTCATTGCGAGAGAGCTCCGAAAAGGTACACTACTTTTGAGCTTACGTTCTTAAATAAAACGTTAACAGAGAAGAATGAAACCTGTCAAACAAAACTAATATCTGAAGCGAATTTTCTGTAAAATTGACCTGGGAGAGCCTGACCTTCCAAATTCGTGATTGAATGCATTTATTGCTATTTTTGAAGAGCAGCATACAGAAGGATATCAATTGGGTGTAAAAAGCATTAATCTTATTTGATCCATAGAAATATGTGCTCTACTGAGTTAAATTTTTTGAGATCTTCAAGGGATACCGTTTTCACAATTTGATGTACTACCGTTCTATGTTGTGAATAAAACTGAGTCAATACTTTATCAAACCCTTCAGAATGAGAGAATTTGAACATGAATCTCTTACAAATGCTCCTCAGCTCATGAAATTAACCAATAACTTACAAGCAGACAAAGTGTTAACATAACATTAACACTGTATCATAATCAATACGATGATAAAATCATGGGTTAAATGTTATTAAATTGCGGCGGAGATCTTTTTTGGGATATAGAAAACTATAGGATCGTTTACAATCACATTGCTTCGATTCGCTTGCGCTGCATTGATGAAGGTCTAAATGAAAGTAGAGAAAATTATGAATTGAACATTGGATAAACCAAATTCGTACCAATCAATAAAAACAGTTATACTAACATATGAATTCCAAGGACACTAAATTACTACTTGTCAGCGGAGCATACTGAAAATCTCAAACCTTTAGCGTTTCATTCCAAGATTATTTGATAGCAGTTTGAACCCTTATACACTGCAAAAAACCCCGTTCTCGTAACGCAGTCATAAACTATTCAGAAAGCCAATTTATTTCAAGTGCGAAAGTAATGTGTCCAGCAGCACATTACACGGCAACGTACGTAATTACACAATAGTTCCATTCATGACGCAATCTTCTACAGCTCACAGTTTGCTTTGCTTCGCTTCATTTTTTTACAAATGTTGCTAGGTACCCGATTCGCATACCCAAACTAACAAAAAGTCGGCAACTCCAGATTTGAAATTATATATGCTTCAGACAATTCTCGACTCGAGAGAACTAAAAATCGAGGAGAATATTATGTTGATTTGATAGATATGGACTCATTTGCACGTGAAAGCTCATGAAGCTTGATCTTTTATTTACGCGCAAGCGTCATCGGCACCGCAACGCACTACATTGGTCGCAAACTCACCAATCTCACACCTTTGGATGATACTATACAACGATAATGAAATCCTAACTCACCGTTACTCCATTCGACATTGCTCCGTATCGTTCATGGACATGGCCAAAAACATGGAATCTAAAAGCTTTCAAATAACTCTTATAATGTGAGAACTATTGAAAACAATTGAATTCTAGAGACATTATAGTAAAAATCTCCTAGCCTGTCGTCCAAACAGCAATTCTCGTAAGAAGCTCAAAGAAAGGCTTATTGGCATGGACCAAAAGATATACAAATTGGAAACAAGCTCAAGAATAAATGCAACAGATGCGAAGAAAAGATAGAAAATAAAGGTTACTAAAAGGCATTTACGAAAATGAAAATGTTCGCAGAAAAAATCAAGGCAAACATACCTGGGTTTGACACGAGTTTCAATTTCATTGAGTAGATAGCGGCAACCCCATCTCTCATCACCGAACAGATCCAAATAACCTGTAAAGTGAACAATGACGTAGGCATTTTTTACCACTTACGGTATGCTACCGTAATTCCGCATGGATTGAGAAAACTAGGGTCGCAGCACTTTTTGCATGAGGAAAAAAACTGACTTTACTTTCAGCATAAAGGCGTTTCATTTATGCCTTGTGGCGGGTTACGGTAGCATCTGTAGCGATGTAAAATGATTTAATTGTTTAACAACTAGGGCTTACGCTTACGTAGTACATAAAAGGAAATCGTTAGCAGTCTAACAAACCTAGCGGTGGAGTGTGAGTAATAAGAACATCGAGATCAGACGGTATCGCTTTCCATTTGCTCTCTAACTTTGGTCGAGGGACATAAAATGGATAGCCGAAAAGCGGATGCCATGATGATCCAAAAAATTTGACTCCATCAATCTGCAACAATCTGCTAAAGTACCGCATGCAATAACGGAACTTCCGCAGAAGTTTGTACCTCCACACTCTTATCATGCAAATAAGTGACGTTTTGCAGGAGAGTATAGCCTTGTGGAGTTCCCTTGTTGCGATACTGCTCCAGTCGACCGGTTACATCCTCCGAGTCATCGAAACCCAAGTCGTGATTACCAGCCACGATTAACTTGTGTCGATGGCGAAGGAGATCGGAAAAGAGCTGGTTCAGTGTGTTTAGAAATACTTAAATGTACAAACTTAGTTCTCTGTTGACTTTCTCCAACTCTTCCCTGGATCCGTAATTCGTCAAATCACCAGCATGGATCAAAACATCGCCATCGGGGATGTTCTTAAAAAAGCTACCTGTGTCGTGAAAAGGAACTCATAACCTTTGATTTGACTGGCTTGGCGGCTGGAAGGCGCGGCTTTTGACCTAATTAAAGCCGGTGCCCGCTACGCAGTCTGCGTCTCTCTCGCGAGAGTGCTCTCTGACCATTACCTAGCCTTAATTAGGTCACGAAGTCCCGCCTTCTAACCGCCAAGCCAGTTGAATCAAATGGTACGTATATAGAAAGTGTTCGAGGAGAATTATTTATCGACTTCTGGCAAACTCCTAATTTTGAAAGTTGTACCAAATATCAAACCCTAAATCACATACCCTAGCAGACCCTCACATAATTGCAGATTTTTTTCAGAGTATTGTGCTTGGTGCTTGAATGGAAAAAAGGTTAAGAAATGATTTACAAATCATATCTTTCTTTATCAACCTATCCAGTAAAAGCCAAGCGTAAAAATAAAATCTGTACCTGGACCAAGTCAAGCTGGTTGTGAGTGTCAGATATGCATACCACTTTCAAGTAATTATCCTGTGGCGGAGTGTTGATTTCTCTGCAAAAAGAAAGAAGTAAAGTAATAGCCATATTTCAAAGAGCTTTCTTGTTTGCAAAAAGAGACCGATATTATAAAGGTCTTTGGAAAAAAATTGACTGGCAAAAACATCAATGCAACATTAATAAAGTGGTGCGCCCTGAGCGTATCGAATAAAATAGAATGAAAAATGAATGAAAACTGAGCAGAAGTCACAAAATGAGTGTAGCTTAAACCGCTTGGGCCACACGAACTGGGAAGAATTATTTCAGATTTTTTGGAACTCTCTTAATCATAGTCTGAGATTTCATTCCAATTTCGGCAGCCGAAGTAATAAAACTATTTGTGCTCTAAGACTCTAGACATAATTTTTTTTCCAAATCATTGAAAAAACGATTAGGATGGCCATAGAAAAGATGGCTAAAAAATGAACAGAAAATAGAAAATTTGTCTCGAAAAAACGCTCACCCTTCCGAATTCTTTTCCACAGAGGTTTGGATTTTGTTAGCCTTGATTTTGTCCCAGTAATCTTCTTCACTATTCGGATCCACCTTCTTCATCTCTGAATAACCGAAAGATCAGCTGATGCAGACGTAAAAGAAACTCGCTATATCTTGAATTTGGCAAGAATTTAAAGAAAATTGAGTTGTACATATCTCGTAGGCTTAAGTTTTATATCTTCTTATGTCAAAAGTTAAGTAAGTTTTACTACTCAGAAAAGCTGTTTCATAAACTTACAAATCTTATAGCTCGTGAGGTTTTTTAATTAGTGATATTCCAACAGATAAAATGTAACAGCCATAAAAACACGAAAGAAAATGACGATAATAAACTTAAATGTCAAATACTATCCATATCCCTTCCTTACACCTTAAATCATCGATACCCATTATTAACCTTTGCAGCATTGCAAACGCAATTTTTCATGTTACTAACAAATAAAAAATAAGTAATATACGCTGGTTTGAGTATAGTGAGCTAAAAAATTACAAGCAGTACATCTTCTAATGCCCTTGGGTAAGAAACGGATTTCATGGTCCATAAATCCGCCGATAAGATGTACTTATAGCCTCCATCAGTTCGTCAAGTATAAGATGTATTAATAATAAAAGATTATTTTTTATAGACTTGGTAAGCATAGTGTAACTTAGAGGAAAATTCAATGAATAGCTATGAGCAAAGCAGAAAAAGCAGTTCTAAGCTGTTTGACAAGATGGAAAATTTTTAAAATTTTTCTGCTCTGGAATGGTTGAAGGCATGTTATAAAAATTGGGTAAAATACTATCAGGTTCGAATATAAGTCTCGCACAAAAACTCTGAATTTAGTCAAAAATGCCTATGCAACCGTTCAAATTATGAGATATTTTTTCTGTTATATCAAAGTGTTTTATCATGCACTAGAAACTCTAAGCTGAACAAAATCCATAAACAAAAGCAGAATTAGAGATTGGTGACCTTCTAACATTTTTAACGATCGAAAAATCAAAAGAAATTTTGACGATTTGTTTTTACCAGCTTTAATTATCGCTAAATGATTACAACAATTTATGTACCAATCGCCAATAGAAGGAGCAAAACTCTCTCTCTATCTCACATTATTTTGAACGAATTCATTCAGATTAGAGGAACTCAGGAATTTTCAAAAATTCTGGTGCAGGACTTATCCTTAGACCCAACCTAAAAGATAAAATCAAATAAACTACTAAGCTTAACAAAGCAAGCCAAAAGTTCAGCTTATAAGTAAGGTAAAACGACAGCTGCTGTGAAAACCTTGTGATCGCAAAAGTAGAACATGACTTCGTCCCACTTTCCCAAGCGGAAATGACGAATGCTGACGCCACCTTATTCATTCGGCACTTTTTCTTAGCACCGTCAGTTTTCGCATGTGACGTCCACTTTCACAGATAATCACGCTCTATTATCAATCAATGTAATTGAAAGAAAGGACCTGTAGGGCGTAGCAGTATAAAAGTGCAGAGAAGCTGAAGCACAATCATCTGAAAAACTTCTGAGAACGAAATACGGCAGTGGGAGATGAGAAAGGATTAGGATAAAGCAATTAAATTCTGTGATATGGATCACAAACTTCTCATCTATTAGAGAAAAAGCAAGTCTATAGAGAATGTTTTTCATTTGAAACAGGACGGTTGAATCATTCTTTAAGTCACTTCATTTCACCGTAAATGTCTTATCTTCTTTTCAGCGAAGCCGAAAGTTTATGCGAATAACTGTCAAAACTTGGGCAATTAAGTGTGAAACATGATGGCAAAAAAGTCCTTTCTTCATTGAATGGCAAATGTCCTTCAACTAAAAGTGAGGTTCGAAGGGTGAAAGAACATAACCGCGCTTCGTAGGCAAAAATCTTATGCCAGTGGCAAATTTCACGGGCTTTCAGGATGAAGCAAAAGTAATGAGCGTTCTTTATCCAGTCGCGGCAGAAAAGATAAAATTTATAAAGCATATCATTCGTTAGAGCAAAGCAAGCTCTATGTGGCTTTCAAACAGAAGCAAAAAATGCGTTGAAATCACTATCTTAGCACGTTGAAAGTTTGAAGAATTTTTGTAAACAAAAATTTTGATGACGGTAAAGCCAGGGCTCGGCACAGGTGGCTTGTAAAGCAAGCTGGATATCGTTTTTTGGGGGAAAAAGCAAAGGGGATGTCGTTTTTGCGGAAGAGCATAATGCTGTCTTTCGAACTGCCGCCGGCACGCTGCCGGCATGCCGCCAGCAAATAAACAAAGGGTCTGTTTACAGCGAAGTAAAGATGAAATGGCATTAAAATAGGTGTGTAGATAGGTGATGGGGAGTTGGGACTATCTTTGAAAAATTATGAAAAACTTATGTGAACTAAGGGCACGGCAAACTTTTATCGGGGTTAGGTGGCTTTCAAGCCACCTGGATAGCCACCTGAGGTGGCTTAGCGCAAACAAAGTCATATAATTCCTATTCGTCACATAATTTTTTCAATTTTTTTACATAAAAGTAATCTACATCTGATGTTCTACCAAACAGCTCTTGTAACTCCCCAAACCCTTTCCTCCCCGCCCAGTTATAGCCCTCCAAATTACCTGGATGGCAGCGGCAAAGCTGCTCCAAGCTCGCGGTGGTGCGCGGCGGACACAGCATTCCGCCAACCCGAAGAATACAAACAATCACTAGTTTTTTATCGCCTATTTATTGTCTGTCTTCTATTCTGTTTCATTCTTTTTGTTTTCGTGTTTGATTTGTTCGTTAGGTGTCAAGGGGGATGTCGTACTTTTGTGGCGAAGTCAAGGGGGACTTCGTTTTTTGCATTTTCAACTAGCCACCTCGTGCCGAGCCCTGGGTAAAGCTTGGAATAAAATTCTAAAAAGTTTCAACCCTCAAAAATCGGATTGTCCATAGAGATGGAGCAAAATTCCAGTTTGCTTTAAAAAAATTACCTACTGCATCAGCTGATCACTTGTACACAATATAGCTCTCCACAAATAAAAACCAAAAAAAATGTAGAATTTGGCATGTTTTAGCAAAAGTAAAGCTGGACTGTTCCGACATAAGTAATTTTTCTCCACTGCAATCTTTGGAAGTAAAATTAACCCTAACCCTAAGTAACCCTTCTATATATAGGCGATGGTTTTTGAAAAGTATCCACTTCAAAAAACCCGAGATTTACAACATTTTCATGTTTTTGGCCTATTTTTATTTTTCAACTTCCAGTCGCAGGCAATGTGACAAATGTATATATCGATATATCCATTGAGGATAGTTTATGTGTCTACAATGTTGCAGGTTTGCTGGATTGTCTAGACAGAGTTTTGTTTTTTGAGCATGTAAAATTTCCAAGATTTTTTTCCAAACTGGTGGATATAGCTTGTAATTGTTCGAATGCCATCTTGCAGAGCTTGCTTGCTCTGAATGAAATGTTTGGATATTTTAACCTATATGGATATTTCCTCCTTGCCGGGACAGGACAAGAAACTCATTTCCGCACCAACTCTTAGCCAATCAGTGAAGCAAGCAGCTCAGTTGCTAATCAATGTCCATCAAAAGATCAGTTGTAAGGTGATCCCCAGATAAATTTCAAACAACTGGTATGTCAAACTATGCTTCCAAGCTGAGAAAAACGAGACAAAAGCCTTCTTTGTATATCACAGTGTCATAATTCACAACATTAAAAAAATTCATTCTTATTTATCACAGTATTATTGCCATCGATCAAAACGGTGAGCTATAGTTCAGCTATTCAGACAACTAAAAGGCTTACATTATCAATCACAATGAGATTGAAAAAAAGACGATTAAGGTGATGTCATTTGACGAAAAAGAAACGGATGATTGAGATGTGAACTCCTGAGAACATCTGATGGAAATAAAATTAATTTATCCTAAGGCACATGGCTTCGGGGAGGGCGGCTCGGATCATTTCAAAAGAAATTGTCTTGCAAATAAATACCTGTCTTTTAATTACGGTCAAAATACTTACTGCCCTACGATATTTTTCCTCTCAATATTTTCTTTTTGATGCTGTTTATGAGAGCATTTTTTTAGCCAAAAATAGCCAAAATAGCACATTTGATCTGCACTACTCTCTTTTTGTTATCCGAGCCATTTAGAATATCGCTTGTTATATATTATATCTTTTGGATCTATTTTCGACCGAAAATCGTTCGGAAGTTTCCCTGCATGATAAAAATCATATTGGCATGCATGCAAGAATAGATGATGCTATCAAGATGTAAAGCTGTAGTGAAAGCTGACAACTCAATGCGTAGATAAGATCTTAGGACACTGAGCAAGAAGACTGAGCCATGTCGAAAACAGGAAATTAGTTTGAAGCAACGCTTCAGTGCTTTCGGGGCGAGAAAGAAAAGCTCAAGCATAGATCGCTAACGCGGGAAGCACAGCTGATGTACGTCAAAGATCCGCAGAGATGTTCGATGGAGACAATGCACTCGCACAGGGACAACTGATCCAAAACTTCGAGCAAGCATAATCGATTTCGTGGAAATGCTGCATAAGCAGGTGAAAAGCTTCATCAACTACTTTGAGTGCGTGAAAGTAAGCCTAGGCAATGACTTTGTAGATTTGGTCATCTGCTAAAGTTCAAAAAGCCACCTTTTGACTGTGTAAAAATAAAAAGCAGAAAACACACTTTATGGGTCTTCTGCGCTTTTCTCCAAATACTGGAACTTTCAAAAAATGACAACGATGACGCAGATATGTTTTTTCACAGAATATACCCTCCCCTAAACCAGAGTTTGCGAAGCTCGTAATCAGACTCGCAAGAAGATATGAAGGTCGAAACGAGATTGTGGTAAGAAGGGTAAGCTTCAAAATGGCTGAACTATTCTTCTTTACTGAGAAATTGTATGTAGCAGCAAACTTGGCTACCATACAGATGGCATATCTGAACGGAAAGCGAGCGTTACTCTACGTGTAATAAATATTTTTTCTGAACACTCCGGAAAAACAACATCTCCCATCCATCGCCCTTTGTAACACTGACTTTACTAGACAGTTAAAAACAACTCATTGACACCCAGAGCGAAAATTCATTCCTTGTTGTGATGTTAGAATTTCCT